GCTGATGGCGGCCGAGGCGGGGGGTGAGCCTGGGTCGGGGGGTGAGGGTCGGCCGCAGGGACGCGTGACAGCACGGCTTGGCTGAGCCCCAAGGATGAGCCTCCTTGTTCCAACCCCACCCTGCCCCGGCGCAAATAGTTGGAGTCCTCGCCTATTACTTCCACTCTTTTGATGGCTGTAATTTGCCCGTTTTTCCTCTGGGATGGACTCCAGCTACGTACCGAGCGGAGAATCGGACTGGTTATCGTTCATTTGGCTAGGGAAGGATAAATTAGCCCACAGCATTTTTAATAATTAGGAAAATTTTGTTTCAAAAATTTTTTTTAAAAAAGTTTTTTTTTTTTTTTCCTCTTTTTGTTCCCCCCCCTCCCCCTCCTGCTTCCCCACTTGCCCACCCCCTCTCCACTTCAGATGTTCGACCTCAACTCAGCAGAGGGATCGAAACCACTCCGCTGCCGTTCAGGGGGGCAACACCCCCTTCTGCAGTGCAAGCCTAGCGACGGAAGAGTGAGTATTGCGGCGCAGAACAGGATTGGGAAATATATATGTCTCACAATTACATTTTCATTAAATAGATTGTGCTTTGAAAAGAGAGGAGATTCTTACATCTGAAATTTTGTCTTTCAAACGTTCTTCTTAAAGAAAGAACAAAACATTTTCAAATCTTGTCTCTGGCTCTTTTTAGCTTGCATTCCTGTAAAGTGGACAAAGATTGGATTAGTCTAATTACAGGATGGTTCTTTTAACAAGAAATCTGCTACAGAGAGGTCTAAAATGGCCTAAATAATTAAAGTTTTCTTTCTTTCCCTCTTCATCTTAAGCAATGAGTAATGTTTGAAGTCCAGACTGAGCCACCTGACTAGAGCCTTTCATTTTTAATTGGTTGACCTTAAGTCCACCAGCTGTCTTTGCTAGCAGCTTTTTTTCTGAAGCCACTCTACAAAGACTTAGAACAAATTAGGAAGACTAAATTACTGCGGACTAACACTTTGTGACCTTTTGACATGCCAAGTGTACATTGCCTCAGAAGCAGTTGTAGATTTGGCTGCATGCTATTCACTAGAGCGTTGCCATTTTGCAGGGTAATATTGTTTTAATTATTCTTTAAGAAGGGTTTCTTAGTGCCGATGACAAGATCCAGTTAATTTTATCCTCACCGGGGGGAAAATAAGATCACCTGTGTACTTCAGGTGAAGAACCTGGCGGTGGTTTTGCTTTGTTAGCTGTTGGGGGTTGCAGGTGGTTTTGTGCAGGAGAAGGAAGCTTGGCAGATGCTCTGTAGGAAGGCGGATGAAGCGAGCCTCTTGCAGTCAGAGGTGTAGGACACCGGGGCTCGCCAGGCAGAGGTTAGGCCATGGGGAGCCCCCAACGGCCCCGCGCTCCTGCGCCGATGCCTCCAGTGAGCTCCATCCCTCGGTGCTCCCATCCGTACCACGGCATCGCTCGGCAGCGCCGCGGTTCCCACCGTCACTGCGGGCAGGAGCTGCGGTGGGAGCCCCGCAAAGGGCTGCGCAAATGCAGCACGGCACAGTCACGGCGAGTACGGGAATATCTGACTCTCCGGGTCACAGCCGGGGTATTTCTGACCAGTGTTACCGGTGGCAGAAACACTGCTGGGCTGAGTGCGGTGAAACAGCTTGTTCTCAAATGGAAAAATAGAGATTTTTCTGTGTGTTTTCTGTTTTTCAGTCACAAAGAGCCAAAGAAACTGCCAGTTGTTCACACCTCTCAGTTGAGCGAGTTGGTTGTCACCTATTTTTTTTGCGGAGAAGAAATTCCCTACAGGAGGATGTTAAAGGCCCAGAGCCTGACACTTGGGCACTTTAAAGAGCAGCTGAGCAAAAAGGGAAATTACAGGTAAGAATCTGCGATTGGTTTGGTCTTTAGTATATACTAAGTGGAAAGAATCAGCAGATACTTTGCAGGTCTACCCGCAGTGATGCATTTACTTTGCCTTTCGGAGGCTGGAGATCTTCTTATTCTCTTCCCACTCAACCCAAGAGCAGCTTGGAGATGGCGAAAGGTGCTGGGAGCTGTGGCGTGGCGGCGGGGCCGCCTCTTCTCCATCTCCCTCCCCAGCCTCCTCCCCCAGTCGCACGGGGACGCGGGCTGGCAGGCGGCGTGCTCCAGCCTTTGTCCAAAACGCTTGAGCACCAGGAAAAGCTGGGATGATGGCCTTGTGGTGAAGGCATCGGGCGGTGGGGTCCAGTTTCCAGACTGGGGTCAGCATTCGTCTTGGTGCTGGCCTCCTGCTTTGCCTACTCGTTTAATTTTTTTTCATTTTTTTTGGTGACGGTGTGGCCATAAGTGCGGTCAGGGAAAGGTTGGGATGTTGCGTCTGAGCGGACGCGTAGCTGAGACGCAGCAAGCTCGCTTTTCTCTTCATTAGGGAAAAACCTCTGCCCTGCAGGGAAGGCTCCGCCGGCGATACTGAGTGCCTCCTCAGAAACCCCAACAAACCCTGCCTGTCTGGTTTCCAGGGCCCAGCTCCCAGTTTAACCAGTTTGCTGCTCCCCATGCTCTTCCAGTTCCCGTGGCAGTAGCTTCACGTTGGCTATTTTCGCTGTGCTTTCCCAGCGTTTCTGGGCACGGGTGGGATCATCTGTTGGCCGCTTCTCCTGCAGGGTGAGCAGGCGCGGGGAGGTCCAGCTTTAAAATTTAAAGTTTGCGTTGAATTTGGTGCTTCTTCAAGGAGCCAGGAGTGCTGGCAGCCTCTGGTTTAACCTCCAAATGGTCCTTTGGGTTTGGTATGAGGACTTCCCAACTGGTGCTCCATCAGTGGCCAGTCTCTAGCTTTGGAGAGCCCACCTATGCGGCTCAGAGACAGGTCACCCAAGGGTGCTCGCGGGCTGGGGGACGCCCAGCTGGGCTCTGTCTGTGGCAGTTGTCCACTGAGGCTGAAATCAGGTCAGTCTTTCACCAGAACCATCTTTGCAGGCCGCCTGGCTGCCATCAGATGGCAGCAACCTGCAAGTCCACCCAACCTGGACAACCTCCACGAGAGGTTCCTGGGCGTCTTGCACCGTGTCGCCATTTTCCAGCCCCCAGAGCCTCTCGCTGCCCCGCTGGGCTCCTCCTCCGGCTGATGCAGCCTCCTGCCCCAGTTGCAGACCAGTTTCCCTGGCCTCATCATTGGTCTGTCACTGCTCCGGTGGCTGTGCAGGCACCCTTCCCCCCCCAAAAATTCTTTTTTTTTTGTTTGGGCATTTTCTGTGACATTTTCTGTGATGCCCAAGTGCAGGAGTAGGCTCCTAAAACCTCTGTGGCCCGAAAGTCCCTCCAGGTGCAATTATTTGTGCCTTGTCAGACAGTAATTACTTTAGAAAATGTTTTTAAGTGACTGACAAGAATGAAACAACGTTTTGCTTAGATCTCACCCCTTTACACCTGGGTAAAGACAATACAGAAATTTATAAAAGGAACTTGGGTACGTGCCCAGTATTTTATCTTGCACAGACACAAGGTGAAACTAATTACACAAATGTGTGTACCTCCAGGGAATCATTTTGATCTAAGCTTTGACTTCTGGCTGGACTTTGAGTGAAACTGCGGGTGACCTTCAGGGAAGAGGGCCACAGTGCCCGGAGTAGCGTGTGTGTTACGGGGAGGCACTAACTAGGCTGCTTTGGTCACATCTGGCATTGATTTCTTTTCAAGGCACATTTAATAAGCATGTCTTTGAAGCTGTTGCCTTTCATTTAATGCACAAAGACATGCAGAAATGCTCCGCTCTCCAAATTCTTTATTGATTGGATCAGTTTGCGAGGCGGGTACCTCGGGCTCCCGCGATGCCAGAGCCGCGCGGGCCGGCCCTGCCGTGGGGCCGCCCCCGGGAAATCCCCGCTTTGCTTCCCCCCCCCCCAAAAAAAAAAAGAGAGCAGGAATTAAGCAGTGATTTAATACTGATGGCGTTAACAAAAAACAAACATACACGCACAAAAAAACTGGGTGGTGTCGGGGGAGCTGAAGATGGCAGCGGTTCAAAACAGAGCTGTAACGCCAGGCCTGTGCGCCTCGATTGGTGCCAGATGTCCCCCCCAAAAAAATAAAAAAAGAGAGCAAAGCTTGCCACATAAAATCTGTTTCAATGGAGAGCCCGTTTCGGAGCAAAGAAGAGTGGGGTGACTTGTTTGAAGATGCTGTGGGGGAGGATTTTTTTTTCGCTTTGCCTCCTCTTTTTCTGCCCCCCCCTTTTCTCTCCGAAATAAGGTTGTAATTATGTAAAAGGTCATAGCGTGTTTTCTCAAATAAAAATTTAGTAAACACAGCCAGCGCTGGGGCTGGTGGAGGAAGTTACTGGGAAGAGCGCCTGTTATCTGGAGAGGGGCGGAGAAGGGGAAAGGGAAGAGAAAGTTCTTTGTAATTCATTCAAACTTTCCCTGGGTTCTTTTGGGTTTGTTTCAAGGCTGCTGGCCTGGGGAATTGTGGCCTTGACCTGCAGCATGCAAGCTGGTGGGAGCTGGGCCGTGGACTTCAGTGAGTGCTGGCTCTGAAGGGCTGAAATGAGCTGTTTTTCCTTGCTGAGCCATTAAAGATGCAACATGTGTCAATTCGGCTTGGAAGGACTTTACAAAAATAAATCCTAACCCCACCTTGACTAAATGGAGCTGGTTTCATCGCTTTGACTAAAAAGCCAGCTTTTATCCCCCTACCAAAATAATTTTAATGTACCCTAAAAATAGATAGATTTGCAGTCCGTTGTTACAGAGTATTTGAAAAATGTGTAATGAAACAGTCACTTAGAAAAAAAAATCAAAAAACTCTAGGACCCTGCCGTGGCTATTTCAGTTTTAATAGTAAAAGTGAGCTTAATTTGACCTCTTTTCCCATCCTAAAAAAATAAGAATTGCAAAACCCTTTCCCCTTCCACACCTCTGCCAGCCCCAGTTGTCTGGAAACTCCAGGGGAGGGCTGGGGGAGGGGTTAATTTCTTTTTTATATATATATTTTTTCTTTGTAATCCATCGGATGAAGGTTTTTCCATCCCTGGCAATCGGATGGCAAAGCACTTTTCCAAGGGAGCGGGCATGTCCGAGGAGGTGTGCGGCGGCAGACGGGCAGGCTCCCTAAATGCTACCCCTCTGAATGGAAGCCCTTCATTTGGGCATATGCAATTAAGCAGCCTTAGAAGGAAGAAAGCTCCAAACGGGATAAAAGGAGCCTTTAATCAAGAAGCTGAACGGTCTAATTCGGGATAATGGAGGGGTCCTTACTGTTTGACACGGGAGGGGTGGGGGTGCTTGTTGGCTTCGTGAGCTGACGACGGGGCGCGAGAGAGCCGGAGCGCGGGACACTGCGTGGGACACGCGAGGACGCGTCCGGAGGCGAACACCCGAGTTTCTGTCACCGAAAATGGACACGGAGTTAGGCAGTTGGTTGTTTCCAGTGTGAGGCTCCCGGGGTTTTTGTTTTTCAGTAGGAGTGCCGCAGAGTTTCAGCTTTTGCGTTGCAGGAAGCTGGGGTGGTTTTCTTTTAATCCATCTGTATGCCTAAAAAGCCTCTAATTTTAATAACAGCTGCTAATTTTAATGTTGGGCCTCAGCTTTGAAACAAGAAAACACATGAAAGAAAGAAGGTGGGGAGAGAGGGGAACCTTAAGAATGCTTTGCTTTGAAATTCTATTTATTTATTTTTTAAATAAGATAGTTGACCAGAAATCACCGTGCTTTCTAATTTTCTTTACGGCTGAGGACATCCACTGCCAACACGTATAATTCGCTCACTGTAGAAGCTGCTGTCAGCGCTGCGGGGCGTGCACAGCCCTGCTCCCTCCGTCCCGTCGCCATCCCTGCCGCCCCGGGGATGCTCCCGTGTTGCTGGACCTGAGCAGCCCCGAGGTTCTCCTGGCCACGCTGGAGGAGCTTCCTAGGAGGGAGAGATTGGAAATGTTGCGGTTAAAAGAGCTGCCAAAGCATCCTTTGCTTTACCTTCTGATTTTTAACCGTGTTTTAATTCTTACCCACAGATACTACTTCAAAAAAGCAAGCGACGAGTTTGACTGCGGTGCGGTGTTTGAAGAGGTTTGGGAAGATGAAACCATCCTGCCGATGTACGAAGGAAGGATTCTTGGGAAAGTAGAAAGGATCGATTGATGGCACCTGTGTTTCTTAAGAAAAGTTAAGCTAGAAAAGTCTTTGGACACACAACAGTAGTGATGACAAGGAAAAAAAAAAAAACCACACAACTCTGAAGGAAAGTTTTGAACCAATGAAGAAAAGCAGTGAGGTCTGTGAAGACTTTGCTGAATTAGCCTTAGAGGAAAAAAATGGCATTTATTATTCATGAGTTGGGTACTGAGATGATAAAAACCCTGAACTATTTATTAAAAACATGACCACTGTTGGCTATTGGAGATGCAGACTGTGTTTGAGAGACTTCCATACATAATATATGACTTCCTGGGGATCTGAAATCTATGGACTAAGAGAAACTGTGTATAGCTTACCTTAACAGTAATCCTTATAGATATTTATTGAACAGTCTGTTTTCCCTTAAGTCCAGTTTTTGGATATGCTGCTTTAACAATGGAGAAGAGAGGGGCCGGGAAGTGGGGTGATGGGAGGAAGGATTGTTTTATTTTTTTATATTGTTCCAGCTATCTAAAATTTAGGAGTTTGGCTATGAGCACATTCGGATTTTTTTTTTTTTTTTGGAGGGGGAGGAGGGAAGGAGTGACGTTGTGCCCAGTACTTCTCCAAGTGAAGATAGAACTTTTCTAAAGAAATAATAATAAAAGCCAAAATAAAAATACTGTCCTACCATTCATCTAGGGACTGGTGCATCTTAATCTGTGCTGCTCTAATCCGAAATAAAGGTCTTAAGCATTAAATGTGCTAGATGCACTAGAACAACAGCAACTTGTTAGTTCGTCCATGGATTTCTGCGGGGTGAGGTTTTTGCTTTGCTGCTTCCAGGGGCGCGGGGGCCGTGTGGTGCCCAGTGCCTCTCGGCCGGGGCAAGGTAGAGCGGTGGGAGAAGCCATCCAGCTCCCGTTGCCAGACCTAGCCCACCAAAAGGACACGTTGCAAAAGCCGGGTTAAAATCCCCCATGTGTATGTAGTCCACACAGCTAGCTAATTTTGTTCAGCCGCTCTACGTCAGCGTTAGCACAACGGTGGTTATTCTACCTCGTATAGGTTGGGGTATCTTTTCCTGAATAATCAGTGCTGTCCAAAAGTAAATTAGCTGCTTCCTAGTCAGTACATCACTAACTACTTATCAGCTACCTGAGGATTCTTTTTTTTTTTTTTTTTTTTTTATTTTGGCTTTTCCTTCAGAACAGCCATGTGAGCCCAGGGGAGATGTGGGCGAAGGCTCTCTGCAGCCCTTGGCAGAGCTGCGTGTGCGTGGGTGTGGGACAGAGCGACCCTTTCCTGAGAAAGACCTTGCATTTCTACAGTTGGGTTTTGTGTTGATTAAGTTAATCTGTGCATTCTGTTTGCCATTGCTACTTTGTATAAGTCTGTATATATTGTAGAAAATGTATGGTGAAAATATTAATACACTATCTCTAGTGTTTTTAAAATTTAATCAGTACAGTACCTGTGCCTGCATGGTGTTACGAGACCATGCGTCGCCCTATATTCAGGGTTCAAGCTTTCCCTTGTTTGTGTAAGGGGTTTATGTATAAATATATTTTATGCCTTTTATTACAAGACCTGTACTCATGACTTTTGCCATGGCATTTTGTTCTACTTATACTGTAAATTATGCATTATAAAGAGTTTCATTTAAAAAAAAAAATTACTTGGTACAATAATTATTGTAATTAAGAGATGTAGGCTTTATTAAAATTTTATATTTTTCAAATTAATATTGTCTGACTTTTTTTTTCACTCTTAATGCCTTAAAAGGTTTCTTCTCCTGTATGGTGGTAGTTGGAAGCAGTCGCTGAGCCTTGGCAGGAGCTGTTGCTGCTGGGAAGCGGTGGCGGCTCAAGTAGGCAAGGCAGAGGCTGGGGCTGCTCTTCAGAGCAAGGAGTAAATCATTTACAGCTCTGTCAAGTAACTCAGCTACAAATTCAGCGTAGTCCGCCTGCACCACCCAGCCTGCCCGGTGGGGAAAGACTGGGTGAGTAGAGGAGCGGGGCCCTGCTCTGTGAAGTGGGGTGGTTCAGGCAGGGTGTGGTGTTCCAAGGGACCGGAGCTCTGCGAAGCGTTGGAGGGCTCCGTCATTAGGCGATGGAGGGGGTCACAGCCCTGCCTGGGCACGATGGAGCTGGGGCTGCTCTGGGCTCGCTTAACCCCCCCACATCACCTGCCTGAGCACAACCTGGCTTTGTAAAGCCCTGGCTCCTGTGGCTGCTTTGGCCAAGGGGAACCGGGGAGAGCTGCAACGGACGGATGCTGGGGAGCTCTTACCCAGGCGCCTTCCCTCTCGCCAGCGTTTGTGGTACAAAACCTATTTTATAGCCGAAACAGCTTAATTTGTTCCTGAGAGACATACCTGCCCACACCAGGGATGGATTTGTGTCCCAGCTGTCGCCCAGACCTTCCCCAGCTCAAGCAAGTAACCCTGGGAAAGCAATTGTGGAAATGCTTTTGGTCTGTCCGGTTGGTAACCAAAGCCAGCCTCTTTTCTTTTGCTAGACCAATGGCACCAGCTAGGGTTTTGGGTTTTTTCTCTCTCTCTCCCCACCCTATTTTTTTCTATGAGGTTTTAAATTATCTGGGTTATTTTGTGTGTATGAGAAGACTTCATTTAAAACATCAGTAGAACTTCTATCAAAGGGCTCAACTTCACACCGAGTACACAGAGCTCGGGACTGAAGCCTGCAGTTCAAGGGAGCTGCAGGCAGTTTTACACATTTAAATGGATGGTGCCTTGTTTTAGAAAAGCCATCTGAAGTTCATGGGGTTCATCTTAATTGATAAGCTGGACATAACGGATGGGTGTAGGGAGACTTCAACAACATAAGGGAAGAAAGATTTTTTTTCCCCCTCTCTCTCTCTTTTTTTAGTCTACCATCAAAGGTTGGGAACTTAGCACTACATCGTAGTATTATTTTTCTTCTGCTATTAAAATGAATCACACTGTGCCTAATTCTTCTTGGGAAGATGAATGTGTTTGAGGCAGCTTGAAGCCATTCAGTGCCTCACAAGCCTTTGCATCTTTCTATCAATGTTCCAAAATACTCACCTCTGTTTTTTGGATGTCTGTAGAAACAAAATATAAAATGACTTCAAATACATGGCAGGCTGTTTAGCGGAGATGAAAGGGTATTTGAATAGTCTTTTAAAAATGAATGAAAAGTGAATGCTCTCTTCTGTTTCAATTATAAGTGGGACATGGAGCTCGTTAGACACCACCTTAATATGTGACACTCTGAAAATGTTCACCTACCTTCATCATTTCAGAAACATTTTGTTTTTTAGCTTGTCTCGGGAGAAAGATCGTGATTACAGGTCTGGCTTGTTAGCTGCTAACTGGAGAGGCAGCGTGGGAAAGTTCTACAGTTACAGCTGAAGAAATGTAACATCCAACCAATATTTTTTTAAATGGTACAGAAGATGGAGAGGGAGGAAGAACCTTATTTTGAACCAAGTGGGGGTTTTTTTTAGTTTAGCTTAAGTTTATCAGGTTCAACGAAAGCTATGTAAACTCACGCTGAAGAAAAAGCACCCGCAGAGCTGCTTGCAGTGTTACAGTACCTGCCGAAATGTCCCGGCTTGGGTCCTTCCTGAGGAGGGACCCGAAATGTCCCGGTTTGGGTCTTTCCAGTGGAGAAACTGCAACAGCAAGAGCCGGCCATGCAAAAGCAAACCCGAGCAGGACTGCAGCGCTGCAGGAATGACGGCGGCAGCGAGCCCTAAACCGCTCCACACGCTTAAATCACACTAATACTTAACACTTAGAGCATTTTTCAACTTCAAAGCACGCTGGAAACATTCACTAAGCCCCACAACACCCACGGAGGAAGGCAAACCTGCCTGCGTCAGACCGTGGTGCGGTGGATCAGCAGCAGCGTGGATGGGGCAAGTGATGGCCGGGCGAGCTTCAAAGCCGCGCGTCTGCTCTGCAGGCTGGGTCACGGTCCAACAAAAACACCGGCCCTCATTACTGCCCAATTAAAACGCCTTGATGGACCTTTAACGGTCCTCGGGAGCGCTTGGGCCACGGCGCCTGGAGGGAGCAGCAAGCTGGGAACCATGGGCATGCGTTGCCTAGAGGCTTTATTTGAGGAAAAAAATCCCATTTTCTCAAGTGTTTCACAGCTGGGGTTTGCTGGGGGCATGTGGTGACGAGCAATGGTCTTGCTCGGTCCCAAATAAAGGCTTGAAGTGATGGGGAGCGGGGCTGGGCTGTGCTGGGGAGGGGGCAGCCGTGGGGTCAGTTCCCCTTTCTGAGATGAGTGGGGACAAGGACCCTGAAAATGTGCGTTTTGCTTCTCTCAGCAAAAAATAGGCTGCATTTGGATGCAGAAAGCATCCCAGCCCTTGCTGGCAGGCAGGTCGGGGAGATACGGGTGACATGTTCTGTTCTTCTCTTTCTACCCTGAATGTTTGGCGTTGCCTGGCTCAAAGGGTGCAAAAACTCCACATCAATATCGAAAACATGTACGAGGTTGCCCCCAAAATCATGAGCTTAGAACAAAATAAGATTACCAACCCCCTCAAGTCATGATTTCCATCTCCGATTTTTCAGTCCCCGGCGTTCGGTGCGAGAGCAAGAGGCAGTCACAGTGCTGGTGACCGAGCGCACTGACAAACGCGCTGGCACGTCCCGTCCCCGCGGGGCAGTCGGAAGAGGTGTGTGCATTGGGACGAGGAGCCCCAGCCCCACGGCAGGATGGACACACATCCCTGATACCCGAACCTACACCCAACGGTGGTCTCAACTGGTAAAACCAACTTAAACTCCCAAATTCCCGGCAGCCCCCCTGGAAGCGAGGGGTGGAGGAGAGGTGCTGGCTGCCTCCTGCAGCACTGAGGACCATCGTTAGTGGACACAGGGGCCAGGCAGCAATAACTTGGGGATCCTTTCTCCAGGAAACCAATGCACAGGCTAAATGACGTGCCAGCATCCCGCAGCCCCTCTGTGCCATCGGAGGGGACGGCAGGCTCCCGCCCTTTGCAACTCACTTCTGATGGCATCCCAAGGCACATCAACTCTGTCCATATCC